TTCTGTGACTAAGATAATTATACAATAATCCGTTTTTGTGCAAAAAACAACAACAAAAAAAATTTCTGTCAAATTTATCAAATATAGCCTATTTACGTCACATCAACACTTAAGCGACTTTCCTGCTTTACTGAGCGAAGACCTTAATATGTTTCCCTCCGTGCATTATTTCATAATATTGACACACCTTCTGGTCATCTTTTTAAGGCAAATCAGAATAACAAAGTCTATAAAAGAGTGAAATTTGGCTTATTCAAATAAAAAAAAACAACATTAAAATTGTTTGTAAAATAAAGAAATCAAAGTCATATGTTTATCCTGATTCCAAATTCAAATACGTCCTGAACTTAATCTTAATTTGGAACACACTAGTGTTCATGTGCATTACATGCTAACCGAAACAATTTGAGAAATGCTGTTTTTTCTTCATCTCCAATTACATTAAGACTGCAGCTTTTATAATGACTTATTAAAAACAGAAAGCTTATATGAATTTTGGATACGTTCAGCCGCGGTTACTCCACGTGATTTATTGATATTTATTGATGATGAGAAAATAATGAAACTTGTAACAGTTGATATGATAAAAATGTCTTTGAGATTTTATTTGAATGCTTACATGTATATCAGTTATAGCTTACTACTACGTGACGACTGTTTACATACTCTTTTGTGTGAGTGGAACGAAAACCGCTCCCAAAGTTTTACAAAACATATTTTTCTTATAAACTGGTAAAAAACGGTCGAAAACAAAGCAAAAATCTATCATTACACCAAATTTATTTAGAGTGCCTTTCTGATATATATATAACATATTTAAATGCGTTAAAGTCAACACATTTATATCCTAGTTATAAACATTAAGAAAGAATACTCGACATTAAATAAAATTTCAACAATTATACAAATCTAGATATGACTATGTAAAACTATTTGCATGTAAACATACTATTAAATTCTTTTCTACGTGATTTATAATAATACTATGAAACAGACCGCCATCTACTTAAATAGTCACATATTTCTAAAGAACGAAATGAGGCTGCAGTAACAAAACTCATATTGTTTACATATCGGAATTACTTATATTATATAATTAATTTGAGACTTTTAAGTTTTAGTTTTGTGTACATTCTTCTGTAGCTTGTTCTTAAATGTATACAGGAGTTTGTCCCTTAGTATACTGTATCCGATTTTCAATAGGTAAAACAATGGAGATTCTATACAACGTTTTTATGTGTTTAAATGGAGGGGTTGTTTTTGGTAATAAGACAAGATGCCATTTGATGAACAGTCCGGAGTTTGTTGATGATGGTTTAAGACATACTGACCATATAACAAAGCATAAGGTGGTGTGACCTGTAGGTCACAAAATTATTTATAAAGAATTTTGAGGCAACGGTGGAATATGGCCTACTAGTATTTGTTTTGCGTAGCAAGACATCTATACGTACAGGATTTATAATTTATGCTACTCTATAGCTTTTTAGAATAGAAGAAAGTGTCAAATTTCTAACACAAAATGGTGACTTTATCCATGTTTCTCCAACTGTTAAAATATTTATCAGCTGGGCTTGTAATGCATTAAGATGAGAACACAATCATTTAGGTTTTTCAGATGGATCCATGGCACATTATCTTGAGACCTTCTTCATCACAACATATTGACATATTGTCTATTCCTTCTTATCACATTTGATCTGTGGGATTTTTTTGCTTTATTTGTTATCTATTATTATTATTATTATTTAATGACCAATTAATGAAGAATGTTGAAAAGTTTTTTTCTCAAATCGGGCCAAACATAAATTTTATTTTTCAATATAACTCTGAGTAGATTTCATTATTATCTTTGCCTTCTAACACTTTAAGCGTTTTTTATTGTTTACAGTAACTGTTCAGCAAAATGTTACCGATGTTTTAATTCAAAATTTGTGTTTTTTCATGGAAAGTAAATGTATTGAAATTTGAAATGATTTTTTATGTTTCAAATGTATCCAACTCTGAATTCTGTAATGCATAATCATGACATTAACTTCTACAACATGCTTGAAATGATAAAACTGAAAGCCTCATACGTTTCCGGGTTTTCTCATTTTACCACTTTGTTGCCATGGCAACAGAACCAATTAATGTTGTTGTAGAATGCAAATCTACCTTTAAAAAGAATTAAAGACTTTAAAACATTTCAAAATGTAATCTTGTTGGTTATTTCTTAGTCTTAATAATCGTTATATATCAGTTCACTAGAAATTGGGGACTCAATTTCCGAGTACCCCACCCACTTTAGGGAATGTCAGAATTCACATTCTTACACAATAAAAATAAAATAAGGTACAATTAGAAAGTTGTTGATCAGGTCTTTGTAATAATGGTAAAAATATTCATTTTCACAACTATGCCTCGACTTATAGGAAAAAAATGCCAGCCCATGTCGATTTTTTATACTTTTTCATGCTTTTTTAGCAATATTTCTCTATGAAAACAAGAGTATATGTATAAGAAAATGAAAAAAAAAGACCCTTTTTCATATTGTTCCAAAAGGATGTGAAGTTTTAACATCACCTGTACCAAAATAAATACAAAAAGGAACTAATTTTATCATATAAATTGCGTATTAGCCATTTTTCAATAATTTGGCGGCCATCTTGGCGGCCATCTTGGATTTCTCAAAACGTACCATTATTTGACATGTCTACCCAAAATTTTTGTAAACTTCAAACATTTAGCTTTACATTGGTATAACATTTATCCATGGACCTTATTTGCACACAAAAGGTCCTCAGGGACTGTACTACGTCAAAAAACCTTCAATTTTCACGCCATTTTTAAAAATCAGCAAGTATTGTTTTGAGCGCAAAGATATAATGATGATTAAAATGTTTGTCTTTATGAATTCTTTTCAATAAATCATATTTACACTGACTTCTGATTTAGCGATTTCACCTGTTTTCTCTGTAGTAAGTTTTCGTTTGGTTAATTAACATAAGTATACATCTGGTTCTGTGCATTTTTTATTTTTCCTATTTTCCGGTCATTTTATCCTTTCCGGTATTTAGTGTATGTATTTACTGGCCGGGATCCGGGACGCCCGGGATCCGGGATCGTATAAGATATGGAGGAAAAACCTAATGAACTATATTTGTGTTGATTGTTGTCGTAATGGAAGGCCATTAAACGTTAGTTTTTTTATTGTATATAATGAACGTTAAATTAATTTAACTTAGAATATAGATATATTTAGAGCTATTTATTAACAAACTTAAAATGCGGAAATCACAAATCACAATACTTATAATTATATGCCTAATCAATTGGAAAAAAAATCAAAGACTTTTTTCTTGAATTGGTCAAATCCCGGGATCCCTATATGTTTTAAAACGATCCCAGCTTTTCTGAAAACTATATACTTGAACTGGCCAATCCGTGAGATCTATTTACATTTTAATACGATCCCGGCTTATCTGAAAAACATCTTCTTAGACTGGTCAATTTCCGGGATCCCTATATTTTTTAATAGGATCCCGGCTTTTCTGGCTAAATTGATTGACAACTTGTGTTTACTTTAGGACTTGTGCCTCTCATTCCAATACTAAATAACATACATGTATTACAACTTAATTTTGTATAAAGAGACATCTTTATGAAATCTACCTATCTAACATTTTGTGGCCAAGGTCAACAGGCCATATAGTAAATGTGCATAGACATAGGTTCTTCATTCAATCCGTTTACATGCACCTTCATAATTATATACTCATACTCATCTTGGTTAAACTGCGAGAACTTTATATGTCACTTTCAGTCAATGAGTTTAAGATTTTGAATTTACTGGCCCGAATTCCAGTTTTGAATTTATTCTACTAAATAATTAACAAAACTTTCTTAAATTTACACTGGTCTGAACTTATATACACTGGCCATCGGGCACCGGGCCAGTGTTGACTTCACTTTTATTTTGATGTTCGCTGAAGTCTCTTCAGCTAACAGAACTGTCATTTTTACATTTAAACACACCCCTTGAAAAAAATTACGAAGCGAGTCGCTACTAGCTTTTTTAAAAGCTAACCTTGTTATTATTATACAGTGGCACATGCTTATTTGGTGTTGCGCTCGTTGCAAAATCTGTTCACATCACTACATCCCCTCAAAGATTGGTGACAATGGACGCAGGTACCCATATTTATCACCCGGTCATAAAAATGGTTGGTTTGAATCTTTATTCATCTCTTACTATTGTTACTTTAATGATAGAAGCGGTAACAACCTTTTACTACATCGAAACACTGTCTGAATTAGTCTACAGCTGTAAATAAATGTACCCTCTTTACGTTTACACCATATTGAACACTCTAATACAACTATAAAGTATTCTAGGGCCAGTTTGATCAAATATGATGCATTGTTAAATAATATATTAATTTCTATTTTGTTGGGTTTTAAATCTAATTGACCGAAATTTTAAAGCACAAAAGCGTTAACTCCTTTTCAGGTTTTACAAGTATTACTCCGCCATGTAACAGCCGCAATATTGCAGACGACATTTTACCGTGTCTCTAAAATGGCTTGAAAATATACTTCAATAATTATGATATAATATCATAATATCATATATCGATAAACAATTAAATCTTAAGATAAGAAACAGGCCTATAAAATTAAAAATATCGAATTTCTGCTTGAAATTATAAATCATTGATCTTATGCAATATTGTATACATTATGTAGGGGATTCAGGAAAACATTTGAATGAAATACTAAAAATATAAAATATCAACATCAATTATACGTGTAAAACAACTGTAACAGTTACAATTTATTCAAGTTTCAAAGCTAAACAGTGTGATAAAAACAATTATCTGATTATGTGCGTTATCTCGTTTTCATTCCTACAATATTTACTTTGATACCGTAGCTTTTTTTTTCAACTGAGCACAAAAAAACTTGCTCCTAGTTGACTACCGCACAAAATCTAATTCATACACTCGATATCTTTTGTATAAGCGAGTAGCAGCGCATGTCAGTTTACAATTGATAACCGTAGCGAAAATAACTCCCTCTGTCGGCTGTATTTGTTTACATTCAACTTTTACAAGTGACATGAGCGTCTTTGTGTATTAGAAAAATTAGATAGTGGCTTTTTCACCTGTTAACCGATTTGGATTTTGACAGATAAAGAGGTGAATCGGATCTTTTGGAAATATTGATACAAAAATAATTTATCAAGACGCTTATATACACCAATGATGACATGCATGTTGTCATTGCCTCCTTTAATAACGAACCCTTTTAGCGAGGGTGGTGTTGATAAACAAAGAAGTGATTGTGAACATTTTGATTATAATTGGATTAACTCGAATCCATCCCATTCAGAATTGTGTATCGGGCAAAGAGGCTTCGACTCGTGTCAAGTTGGAACATGCATTGGTACATCGATTTCACGTGCAAAAGATAAAGGCAGTGATGTTAATGTAGACTATTTTAATAAGAAATGCGAGACGGGGTCGACAGAAATTGAACCACAAAAGGAAATGTGTCACTTTAATTGTAAGTGTGTTTTTTATTATTATCATTTTCTTTCTCCCCCTTCGATCTCTTTATCTTCGTATGCATCAGTGTATTTAAATGTACTATCAATTCAGTCAATTATTGATTGATTTTAAGATTTAATACTTGAAAACCCTTGTTATCTTTTTTAATGTAGTTTAAATGTTTCCTTTATTGACAAAACGTTACGACTATCCTATGTATATTATATCGGGTTAAACGAGCCTAGATCAATACAATTGTTAAATCTGTCAGCAAATACATCGGTTTAGTCAATGGCATTTATGGCAGTGTGTATAAGTTTACCATAACAAATTCAATAGTAAAGTAACTACTGACTTCACTGCTATACACATGTTATATAGATGTACATTTTGTTAATGACTTTATTGATAGTTTACTTAAAGGATAATTGGTAACACTTTGGCTTTATATTTAAACAAGATTTATTATCATAGTTGTCGAGACTTTCTACTTCTTTGGGTTTATTGATCACTTTTCTCGATTGATTGACGTACAAGTGTAATTGAAAATCACTTTCTTTCTTTTCTTTCTTTTTCTCTGTGGTATAAATAGCATATTTGACCTATTGAATTTGTAAGCCTGTCAGTGCGTCAACCCAGACGTTTGATATTGTACTAAACTTACCTTTAACTCCACAAAAGCACTTAAAAATAAGACCTCTGTTTTGATAAGACTTCAGGTTACTTCACAAGAAATTGCGAAACACAAATAAGAAATGCTTGCTTCTGTAGTGAAGGAATTAAGCAGAAAAGTTTCATGAAATTAACTATAGAGACTCAAGTGGTGGTAAATCAGATAACGAAGATTTCAGTCTCCCTTTTTTTCTTGTTGTTGAACTTTTTTTACCCCGGATGTTTTCCTTATTTTCTTTGTTCAACACAGTCTTGTTGCGAACAAAAGTATGGCGTGCTTTAAAAAAAAGATAACGTTAAAAGTGTGCCGTATATAGGCATAAATTAAACCACTACATGATAAAGGAGTGATAGCATTGAACAGAACATAACATATGTGTATTAACTCAAGTTACATATAGTATAGTAATATTGAAATCATTTGATGCAATACGAATTTTGACAGTTATTCGTCCGATAAAGGTGATAAACATACGATGACCTAATGACGTTCACACAATGTGATAAACACACTATGACCCAAAGAAGTTCATACTATGATCAAGCTTGAACATGATTTAAGAGTGATTAGAAGTAATTCAGGGATAAATTGTACCTAATTAAGTCACTGACACGGCTTATCTCTCCAACGATCATCTTACTGAATGAACTGATCTACTCTGCATGTGAGATGGTAGAAAGGTTTTGCATATAGCGGAAAACAGATAATTATAATAATTATCTATGTTAATTGTTTTGTGCGAATTATGTCCGCTTTATCGCAACAAATACTCTGGTTTCACTATCTATATGTAAATCTCACTCTTGAATGTTTGTATATCTATTGATATCAAACAGATCATATCTCATTTAATTAAAAATTAACTTTTCCACAAAGGTATCGTGTATTATGCATATCGTTTGATCGAAATCAACTGCAGATATATTCGAGCGGGCTGTATATTTCTTTTTCTAAGTTTGCTTTTTTCTTAAATTATGCTTGGCAAATTACATTAATACTTATATTTTCATAATCGCATTTCTTTTTTATAGTTCAAAATGCCATGAAATCTGTGGGTGGTAAGGAAGACAAACTACCGGACCAAAGTAGCACAGGGAGCCAGGGGATCAAAAGGAAAAGCGACACAAATGATTGCAAGCTAGATTACATTCCTACAAAACGAATATCACCCTTCTTAAATACACCAAAACAGAGAAAAGACGATCGCAAGAAAATTCTTAAAATTTCAATAAGAAAGATAAAAGAGTTAAATGATCCGGAAATATTTCTAAGAAGAACAGTGCTTGTTAACAACACTATGAAACGTTTACAATCGGAATTAAGAGAAGAGAAAGTGAAAACAAAGAGACGAAAGTCGTTCAATTTGTACGGTGTGCCTCAAAATAATTGCTTCTCAGATTTATATCTATGTGACGATCCTTTTCTAAGTGGTGTAAACGAGGAAATCACTGACGACATGACAGACACACTTATAAATAATGTGTTTCATGATAAATCAAGCGACGATAAGAAAGAAATTGTTAGTGAAACGTCTGACAGAGACTGTAATGATATGGACGTTTCTGAAAATCGGAACTGTGTTGACGCAAGATTGGCAACGCCTATAAATAGTTCAGATGAACGTAGTTTGCCACAAGGATCTGGTTGGAATACAGACGCTACTAAGACGCCTATGGAAGAAAATTGTAATTTAACACGTGTTACTAATTATAGAACAGATTTAAAAGAAGAAATGGATGCCAGCGGGTCTAGTGATTCAAAGGAAATACATGATTACAAATTAGACATTTAAATAAACACTTGTCATTATAAGTTTAAAGGCACATAATGCCTCAGAAATGAATAACTTTGTAAAAGCAAACGTGAGTTAGAGGCTTTTACATGAAGAAAGTAACACTGTAAGTGGACTTTTATGTTATAATTTATGCAAAATGTAAACAAAGTAGTATTTTGACTTTTATACAAATTACTAAATCACTGCAATTGTACTTATTGCCAGAAAACTATCAGAAGCAAAATATGGTTCAGGAAATTGGTCAATAGGTATCTATTTGGAAACTATACGTTTAACAGAACAATAAAATTAAAACGTCTTTCGATAAATATAAATAAAACCAATTCTGAGGCATGTTTGACCTTTGAGAAGCGTTATGAATTTAGCTTAAATAACGTCTCAACCACATTTTTCATGTGATTTTTTTTTCTTAAACAAAAAAACTAAAATAGCTATTAAATGATATTTTCATATTTTAAAGGGACCATGCTCTTAAAAACCAATCGTTACTTTTTGACATGTATTATGTTACTTATTTTTAGCATATGTAAGGAATTGAATTATGGTTACATTTTTAAGTAAAAGAGATAATCTGTTTTATTTATTATTTTTTTTATTAGAAAACATCTGGATATGTCTCAAATAAATGAAGTATACAAAGATATGATACTCATAGAAAGTTTATTAATAATATATTTATTTATTCTCTTTAATTTATTCTATTTGGTATCATTAACATAATTTTACATCAGCTTTATTTCTGATACTACATCTGTTCTTTCAAATGGAATTGTCAATACAATTGATATCTGTTTGTAAAGCATTTTATTTGCCAAAGTTTCAGGGTATTGGAATCTTTTCAAATAGCAAGATTAGTTGTCTTAAGTGAAGAAAGAACATGTGTTTATTGAGTCGAATTTTTACAGTGTACATGTAAAGTAGATTGATTGATTGAAAGAGACATTAAATGATAAAAACTCAAGTTTTGTTGTTGTTTTTTTAACTTAACCAGTATAGTATTTTCCTATATCATGTTCGAAATGTGTTTCGACCCTTCAGACCAGTGGCATCCACTTATATTGTCACTAAAGTATTACAACTGAACACACGGCTAAAGCGAGGGGGGAACACTCAAATCAATTAATCCCTTCAGAACGTCCATATTTTCTCATCATAACTTCTTTAAATTTACATTGACGGAAATTGGGAAATAAGTAAAGCGGTATTGAGTTACCTACTTACGTTTATCGTACTAGTTTTAGATTACACAACCTATTCCAGACACAATTTGTCTGTTGATTTAAACCGAGCGTTGTCATCGGCATTTGACAAACTTGTTGTATTCCCAAATGAATTGGTCTGAGATTTTCTATTGTATATAAAATGGTCTATTGGAATATCGCAGGCAAAATGCTGGATATGAATCTGTCCGTGACATATTTATTACATTTTGATGTCATATGTTATGTCATATATAATATGACATGAATAACGGTATAAATTTGTATTTGTACTGTCCCTAGAAGAGATACTATAGTGTACATGATTTATTGCTTGGTCGCTAAGTTGTATATGTTAAGTTATGTAATCAACCAATTTATCTCTGAGATAAAATTTTAATTGAATGCAAGACATCAAGAATAAATCCGACAAAATACAGACTTAAAGTCACTTGAGTTTAAGCTCGCAGTTTTGTTTCACTCTTTCCAATTATGTTTCTTTGTTGGAAAGATAATCCTTTTTTTTAATCAAAATATATACCTTAAGTATAAATACAGTTTTCTACACAGATGTATGTTTGTTTCAAAAAAATAATAAAATGATTAGTATGCCTTCCCTCAAAACTGCAAATGAATGAATACCATTTGAATAAATCGGCCTGAGTATACTAAATAGGTAAATTTAGAATCTTTGGTATCATAAACATACAAAGGGGTGGTCGGTTATTTGATCAAACGGGTGACATAATTGCATTATAAAAAAAAAAATTTCTTCATACTGAAAAGGCTTTTGCTGAATTAAACGATAATATTGAATGAACTGTGAAAGTTCTAAAATAAATTGAAAGAAGCAATGCTGGGCGTACTATTCCCAAAGTTCGCGTACGTCAAAATAATTGGTACATAAATTTATCCGAGATGTTCTAGTTCTGTAAACTCTCTATAGATGATGATAGTATAAAATATTGAACATGGACGAGAAAGATAAAAGATGGCCACGTTCTGTCGATCAATTGCAATGTTCTGCAAATTAAGATCAACATGGTGTTTTAGTGCTTTAATAATAAAATTAATAAAATGGTTATGAATAGACAGTTTCAATGTACCGAACTGTTTAATGCAAACACACTTACTTTATTTTGAAAATACTTATACATGTAGTTGCCTTTTTAAAATGTGAAATAAACATCTTTTTACTGCACATAGAGTAAAAATGTTTATCTCTACACACTATAGATAAACATGGTATGAATGCATAGTGTCATTAAAATACTGCCAAATATACTTGACAAGTAATCGAAAATGCAGCTTCCTAAACAAAGATTTACGCATTCTCTTATTCAAATTTGACATATTCATTCCGAATTTCCAAGATTTCATTAAAAATTCTGCAATTAAATTATTTCATCCAAAGATAACCAAAGTATATCTTCAAGGCTAAGAAAATAGATTGAGTCCAGATAAAAGTTCAGGTGAATGGACCGTTGGAATATGCTACTTTATATACCCAAACATATTTATCTTGATGTTATGTACAATCATATTTATGATTTTATGAACGATATTGAACATGTAACCCAAGGCTATTTAGATTTTTATGACCAAATGTAGGATAATTGTTTTATCAGTAACTTCAAGACCTTGGGCGATACTAGTATCCTTATTTAGCAAATATGCTTCAACCGCATAATGTAACACTTCTGTACTAATTGCAGGAAATTATTGAAATTTTGTGAAAATTAAAAAACAAAGGAAAGGAAGAAAAATAACAATTTTAAGTTGCAACTTTGAAAGTTTTAAGGGTGTTTATCATTTTACAATTTGCAGTCATGAATATCGAAAATTCATATAAAGTTCATTATATTTTAATTGTATATACAATTCCGCGTGTTTTATGTTTAAGAAAGACCTATATATCATTTCAGTCACATAATAATTATGTGTGGACACAATTGTTTAGAAACAATATTTATCGTCTGCTTTAAAATCTAACTGAATTTTGACAGGCCATTTTATGTCTCTTTAACAAGGCGTGCAAAACTATAGAGTTATGTACATGTCATGCATGTTAATTACTTACTTGCAAGTCAGCATTATGCTTTAACCAGTCAACAACGATTTATTCATACAATACATGTTTATCTTGTAGAAAACAACCACAATAAGTATAGCAATTGATTCTACGCATGTAAAAGTATGTGTATTTACGATATCAATTAAAAGGTGTTTAAAGGGACTCCACCGAGGATTTTGACATGCCAGGACTGGGAAGAATTTTACGAGATTTTACGAGATTTTACGAGATTTATTTTTCATTTGATGAAGGTCTAGATCAATAACTTGTTGTACAAAATATCAGATCATTCATTCACCCATTTTATTCCAGAATAATTACTGCAAATGTGAAAAATAACCCAAAATTGAAAACCGTTACAACGCTTTTCACTCCAGTTTGGCTTTGAGTAGCATATAAATACGATTTTCAATTTATTTCAAAGTATATTTTTTATTATATTTTCCAAGTCTTACTGTTTTAAGTGCCCAAAATGATATGTGTAAGTAATTAAAGTTTATGGGTTTTTTTAGGCTTTTTGGACCTCAGTGGAGTTCCTTTAAATTTACCTGTTTATTATTTCCTCGTATGAGTATGTTCATTCAGAAGCTCTTTATACTTACCAGTAATTTTCCGCATTTTGTATCCTACTAATTTGCGGTTTAAATTAACCGTAGCACATTTTAACATTGAAGAACTCGTTATAACGCGGTTAATTACAATATATTTGGTGAAAGTCGCTGCGCTAGCATAATTGTTAATGATACGGAAGCGGTTAAGCGCCATCATTCGTGAATCATTATTTTTTTAGTTTTAATTTGATTTTTAACAATCCAGTGTGTGCAAGTCGAGATGTTCTTATGGTACAATAGTTACAAAAAAATCTTCTTAAACACGTTTTACTAGTATTGAAAGAAAATTGTGTATATTTATTGACATGTAGTCATCCAAACAGCGGAATATATTTTGCATATATTGCCGCTCTGCTAAATTTGAGTAATGTTTTTTATCTGGAAAAATTATTAGTACAAAAATTTAGTTCAGACATGATAGGGCCAATTAAGACTGAATGTAAAAACGTATTGTTGTTGTTGCTGTTGCTGTTGCTTTTGTTGTTGTTGTTGTTGTTGTAAGTAGAAAGTACCCATTGCAAATAATTAATTATGGAGGTAAAGTTGTGTCATACAGGAATATAAAACGGCCAAAACAACGATATATTTCAACATAAAATAATGATTCCAATAATAAATAGATAAATAAATAAATAAATAAATAAATAAAGAAATAAAGAAATAAATAAATAAATAAATAAATAAATAAATAAATAAAGAAATAAATAAAGAAATAAAGAAATAAATAATGAAATAAATAAATAAATAATGAAATAAATAATGAAATAAATAAATAAATAAATAATGAAATAAATAAATAAATAATGAAATACATAAATAAATAATGAAATAAATAACGAAATAAATAATGAAATAAATAACTTTAACACAATAGATATTTTTTCAGTCTTTTCATAGATTAGTTATAGTCAATACCGGTAATGGTATATATTTTGATATATTCATTCTTTTTTTTTTTCTTTTTTTTTTTGTAAATTAGAAGCAGGAAAAATTTTATGAGGAATTTGGACTTGAAACTAAACGACCTGATAAGACTGAGTCCGTCAATCAATGAAATGATTCTGTCCTATCTAGTATACCCCGTAAAGAAGGAATTGCGATAATAACGCAGGAATTGTGAATAGTAACGCCAAATCTGTGCCATATATGAGCGATAAATTCACGGACCAGTATAATTATATTTTATTATAGTAAATCAAATTGAAAGGAATCAATTAGCGCATACGTTGACTCGGTGTGTACAGTTCAAAGAGAATCTTCTGTAATGAAAGAACTAGATAAGAACTAGATCAATGATTGATAATGATGATAATTGATGATATTTGTATTGATGATGTACCAAATGACCAACAGTTTACACTGTAGCCAGACTTAATCATAATTACTTGAACATTGATAAACACTTCCTAACCGACCTTACAAAGCCCCGCACACGGCTTATCAGTAAGACACCAGCTTATGTCTGATAACAACATGTGAACTAGCATTAGTTAGAAAGCCTGGAGATCTTGATTAAGCTAGAGATATAGAGAATGTATATCTTACAATGATAACATGTTGTAATGTTGTATGATAATTCTATGTAATACAACAAAAACACCGATAACAACAATAATATCAACAGCGACAACAATTATATTA